CAGGGATGGGGGAAAGTGAACATGAGGGGGCACCCTGGCCTGCCTGGACTCCTGACCTTGGAGCCTTCGCCCCCATTACCCACTGGTGTGGGACAGGGGACACATTCCTGCAGTCTCTCTGGGGGTACAGCTGCAAATCCAGGAGGGGGTAGGTAAGCCTGTGGCCCTGGGTGGTGGTGGTCGCTATGTACCACTGAGTTGGTTCCGACTCTTAGTGACCCTGTGTAGGGGTTCCGAGGCTATAAATCTTTACAGGAGCAGAAAGCCTCATCTTTCTCCCGTGGAACAGCTGGTAGATTTAACTGCTGACCTTGTGGTTCGCAGCCCAGCTCGGAATCCATCACAAGCAGGCCTCCTTACCGCCTTGGGTGGCATCTCTTTCAAAAAGTTAACACATCTGCTAGATATACCAACTGTGTCAAAGGTACACAGTGACCATAACTACTTGAGTTTGTCATCTCAGTTTATCTCGGTGCCTTGGTGGAGACAGGTCCGGAGCATGGCATCTGGAGCGTGAGGTTTCCATGACAGCAGCTCTTTGCCACCTTGGAGTTTGGGTCTCCTTCATTATTCACTCAGACATTTACTGAGTTTCCACCATGTGCTCTTCTGTCTCTCAGGATTATTAGTGGATAGTCCACATCCCTGCCCTTCCTAGTGGGTTTACATTCTAGCAAGCTCGGTCATATTCATGACTCCTCCTAAGAAAAATATACTTAGATATGAAAACCTGCCATGGTTTTGGGAGGTTCCTAGACCCATTTTAAGCACCCTCATCTCAGAGGTGACTCTCGTTTGTGGCCCTAACACAGTCTGATCACCTGGTCTACAGGTGGAAGATGCCCGGCACACCTGTCCTGGACTCCTAGGAACCAGGGACAAAGAGAGCCGTCTCCAAGTCCCAATCAGTTGGAGTGATTTGCTGTTGGAGGCCATAGAGCCCCAAAGTCTTGGCATCTCTGAGCTGATCCTGGGACCTACATGAGCTTTGAGATCTTAAGTCTGCAGAAGCTTCCCAGGAGGAGGAGAAAACATGTCCTCCACATCCGTCCAGAGGATGCCCAGAGCCAGAGCAGAAGCCAAACTCAGATGGCTGGAGCAGGCCTTCTCCACTCACTGCCTCCCAAACTCAGGGCAGGGGTTCTGCCTTCCAGGAAGCTTTCTACTATCTCCACCCTGGCCCTTCCCGGGGCCATCTCTCTCCTCGCTGTCCTCACACCACGGAGTGGCCTCCTCTTTTCCTCAGCAGCCCCAGGAGAACAGGCACAGTGCTGGCTCCAGTATAGGGGGGGCTTGGCAAAGATGTGTCAGGTGACAGATGAGTGATTTTCCCTTGAACCCACTGGTTTTCTGAGAAGCAGGCTCTGAGACAGGAGAGTGGGCAGGGAGCCCTGAGAAGATTCTTTATAAAAGTGAATATAGATTTTAAAGTAAATATAACAAGTGACCACAACCATTTGAGTTTGTTGAATTGTTGTAGGGCTGCAGATGTCACCTGTTCTGAGCAGGGACAGCATCTGAGAGGACTTCTGGGGACAGTAGTTGTCAGGTGCAGTGGGATGGAGCAGGACTGGGCAGAGAGAGAGGAGGCTGCAATACACCCCCAAAGGCCCCTCAGAGAGAGCACTGGGGCTGGGTCAGGAGGCCAGCTCTTTATCCCCCATATCCGGGGAAAGGGTTAGTCTTCAGCTGAGGCCATCGCTGTGGGACCAGGCACTGAGAACCCTGGGGACCCTGTGGTCCAGCAAGCGCCCACGATACCCGTTCACGTCTCCACACCCACACCATGTTTCATCCTCCACAACTCAGGTTTCACCCTAAGAATGGTTCCATTGCTGCTGGTGACCAGAGTTAGTGTCACATTGCCCAATTAGCAAGGTAAGCATGGGTTTACTTGTGCTTACTAATCTGTAGTGAACATATTCACATTTTTTTTCACCACATGCCATCAACAATGCAGTGAAACCCATGTGTACCTTAAACATTGACCAGAATGCAGCTCTTGCTATCTTGGTTGGTATAAGACACAGCCCTGGGCCGCTGGCAAAACTGGATCTGACCCAGCAGCCTGTGGACAGCACCTCTGTTGTCCTGTGAGGGCTGGGGAGGGAGCGCATTGGAAGGCAGGGTGGCTCCTTAGGGCTCTGTAACCTAGCAGCCTATGGGCAGAGGCCAGGGAAGCTTGCCCATGCTGGGGTCACTGGTCAGTCACCAGCTTAGGGGCCCATCTAGCCCTCTAGTGGTTGTAGAACTATGTCTACCTGTTATTGCTGGATGCTGTCAAGCCAATTCCAACTCATAGCGACCCTTTAGGAGAGAAGGACTGCCCCCTAGGAGTCCCAAGGGCTTTCTTTACAGAAGCAGACTGCTACATCTGTTTCCCTTGGAGCCACTAGGTGGGTTTGAACTGACGACCTTTCAGTTAGCAGCTGAGCACTCAACCTTTGTACCATCAGGGCTCCTTCACACATATATAATGACTTAAACATATACTAAGGGGGTCTCTGGAAGGACACAGTGGGAGACAGGTGGGTGTGAGAAGGACTAAGATTTATGTGCCACTGCCATTGAGTCAGTATGGACTCACAGTGGCCCTGTATATATAGTTTCTGAGACTCAC